GACCCTCGGAGCAGGAGCGCTGATCTAACGCCGTCCCGCTCCCACGCCGCGCGTGGAACGGGCAGGGCGCACAGGCAGCCCCTTCCTTCGGGGGGCGGCACGCGGCGGTGCTGCCGCCAGAAAAAGAAATGCAAGCGGGCAGCTGGCTTCCCGCAGCAAACTCGCAGCAGATGAAGGCAGGCGAAAGGGCAGAATGCGGGATCTGGCCTCGCAGGACAGCCTGCCGCGCGACGGCCACGCGGAGGTTAGCAGAGAGGAGCGAGCGGCCGGTGGTGTCTGTATTTACATACAGCAGCAGACCAGGCAGGGTGGCCGCTGCCATAGCATTGCCACAGCCCTCTCGAGCACGTTTTTTTTGTGCTACTGGAGGAGGTATCTCAGCCAGGCTAAAGCGCAAGCGAGCAGTGCAAAGCCTCAACGGCAGAGTGACGGGATAATGTCAAAGAGCAGACACATCCAAGCTCCCTCGCCCCAGCAGACATCCTGAACCCAGTCTGCAGGCAGAAAGCAACGAGCATTTCCCCCCCCTCTTTCCATCCTCCCTCTTTGCAGGTAACTTGATTTTTGGCTTGCCCTGCACCAGGATGATCTGGCTTCACCAGAGGGCTGACAAAACTAGACAGTGTAGACAAACACTTCAGACCATCTAGACAGAAAAATGAGAGGCAGCAATACTGATTTGTAACGAAACTGACTTTTATATAAATTATAAACCCATCCAGTTTAAAGCAGATCATTTGCAGTTGTGTCACTTAAGTCCGTAGAAGGCTGAGGCATACATATCTTCTACAGTCATAAATTAACAATGAATAATCAAGGAAGAGAAAGTTCAGATAAGGCTGCAGATACAACAAAAAAATCCCCTCCCTCTAAGATTACTAGCGGTTAAAATAAAGTCATGATTATCAATGATTGCAAAATATAAATGCAATTTTTGAACAGTTAAAAAGTACAAAAATGATGGGCAACACAAACAGGCATTGTACATTTTGTCCTGTATGTAGACAAAGCAGGGTAGGAGATTTCTGACCTTTATCTACACCAGACACTGATTTTAAGCAAAGAGAAGAGTTGAGGAAATCTGTAAAAGGATCGTGGCTCATGATCCCAGTAGTATAAAAGCAGTATTTTTTCAGTCTGTAAACAGTAGTCTTGGTAGCTTCTTCTAGGTATGTTTTTCAATTCATCACCAAAAAAAAAAAATCCAAAACAAACAAAAACAAACAAATCCCAAGAGTGGAAAAGGGGGAACAGCAGCAATGGGTTATAGCTTGAATTTCTTATCAGGTCCCTGTGGGACATATTCTGGAGGGGAAACGCTCTTTTGTAAGAAATATATAATATATTTAACTGTACACAATTTATAGGGGGAGAGAAATTCTCCCTCTCCCTCAACCAAGTCCCCAGTCACTACATAGTCAATTTTGTACACCGTCTCCTCCTATAGAGGAACTACGCTTGTGAAGAGATGGCACCTGGTTTTATAAAACACTGAGTAATCCAAAAATCGTATTTGTTTGACAAGCTTATCGTTCACCAGTGGCTGGAACTGGAAACGGGACAGCAGCTAACGCTGAGAAGCAGTCGGTATTCCCCCTGTGCTGGCACGAGGATGGTTTGAGGGACCAGCCATCGCTGGACCTGTGCCGTGCCAAATGCTGCGACGGGAAGCGAGAGCAAGCCATGGTTCCATCTCTTCTCAGACTTTGCTTCAGATGACAGACGTCCCCCCAGCAGTTTCAATTCTGCTTTTAAGAAAGCTGATGCAGAAAACGTTTTTTTAAAGCAAGTTCTGCTTTCAGGCACATGGGAGGATTTTAAAAGCTTGGTTATTTAACCTTACACTTCACTTAAATTTTCACACCATTGCTTACTGATACAACTGGTTGAATTCAACCTGTTGTAGCAGCAGTGGAAGGAAACTCCAGCATAAATCAGCCCCTGGACTATCCCCCTCTGGATGAGGGTGCCCTGTCAACTTTGCATTCAATGCTGGCGTTTGCGCAAAGCTCTCTTCCCCCGGGGGGGGGGGGAGGGAGGGAGGGGAGAGGTACATCAGCAACAGCAATTTGCCTCCTTGAATGAAAAGGGGCAGTGCAGATTTCCGGCTCAGTGCTTCTCTATGAATTGCATCACCTCAGCAATGGGACTGTTTTCACTTACCCTACACATTTCAAAGCATCAACTTCAGTCATCAGTCTTGCTTTAATTTAAGGAACACACCCTTCTTTCCAAAAAGGTATTTCTATACAACATGTAAGAGTTCAGGTTTTTTTTTTTCTGGGAAAAGTATTACTATAAAACAGACTTAACACATTTTGGTATTCTTCCAGCTCAGAGCACTTACCAGACATCGCAATTAAACCATCAGGACATCCGTTACAATTCAGACAACCTGCGGACATTCTTTTTTCCCTTTCAGGATGGGGCAAAGCAAAACTAAATCCAGCAAGAGCAGCAATGTGATTTTTTTTTTTTTTTTTTTTACACACACACGGGATTTATTTTAAAAAAATACTCTCATCAACATTCTAGCATTACTAACAAAACATACTCAGAAGAGATGACAAGGGTAGGACTGTCAGCTCTCTTAAAACTTTAAATATAGACTTCAGATACTAGCTGCTTTAAATCAGAAGATGAGGAATCTGTAAAGTCTGACCTGTCCCTTGTATTGCAGGTACATGTAACTTTTTTTGCCTACCGATTTTAGGCTGCATTACTTCTTTAAAAGTAAAAAAAAAAAAACCCCAGCAGAAATGCAGATTCAGTGGGAGCAGATGATGCGACTGCACTTTCTAACAGAATGCCTAATGAACTAGTACTTGAATAATCAAAGATCAACTGCAAAAAGCAAGCATACAGTTACAAAAAGTATTCTCAGCCTCATACCACAGCGGAAGCAAAAGTTACCTCTGCCAAACCAAAGCCAATAGAATTTAATTTCTGTTAAAATATTTAAGTCTTAAGTTTCAGTAATCTAAATACACTTTTTGAAAGTCATGATGATTGCTGCTTTACATTAAACTGACATGAAATCAGACCGCAGTGTCAGACTTCACTGCAGCTATTATATACAAGGTCTCTGGTTTTGTCTTTTTTGCTGAAACACTGATTCCCATCTCTCTCTAAAGCTTAACGGCCAAGTTTGCTCTCGTCACGTTTGCAGTTTTCCTGAACATGAAAACAACCTGCGCGTACACTGACACCACCTCTTCCCTCCAGCAGTTCTCTCCTCGGAGGAACCTGCCTCACCACCACGCACGGCTTACTCCCACCCTGTGACGGAGGGCTGGGCTCTGCTGGAAGGCTGTATGCAGAGGGTGTTCCTCCAGTGCAGCCTCACCTCTCCCTGCCGGACCAACACACTGAATTAATTCAGTAGGCCCAGGAGGCTTGCGGACAAAATAGGCTCATTTCATTGGAGGCGGCTGAATGCGGGCATCTACAATTTCTGCATTTCTAAGGCAAGGACCATACAAAAATTATAAACACTGTATGGTGATGAAAATACAACTCCTTTGAGATATATGCTTTACACTGGATTTCTATTGCTGCTTCTAAAGACCATATCTCCAGTTGTTTCTAGAGATTAAAAGGGAAGAAAGTTAATTTTCTCCTGTTGCAATATGCTTATGAACATGTATAAAAAGTGGTCAAACCCCGATAAGGGTCCCTGCTTCTCATTTATGTACAATAATTTAAATCAGCTCAATACATCATCTGTAATACCTAAAAAAATTGTTTTATGATTTTAAGTCCTTCATGCACTATGAGGAAGTTCTGGATTAAAGTGATGGTATATTGGATGTTGCTTCTGTCTGGGACTCTGGTGTCACTCCCCTGTGGAGTCTGTCAAGGATGCATTTCTCAAATCTTTAGTTTTTTAATGGTATCGAGTCTCTTTTTCAGCAGCTCTCCAATTTCCTGAACTGAGTGATGGTAACTGCTCTGGACCTTCCCTTGCACAGTCTTTGTAAACTTTTTTTCTTCCTGCAAAATGCAAAAGAGAAATCATTCACTCCACAGCAACTGTTTAAATCCTCCCGTTAAACTTCCCCCACCATCTCAAACACTAGTAAGAAATTCACGAGGACCACAGTGTAAGTTTACAAAGGGAATGTCATCAGCACAGAATAAGCAGTACTTGCTCAGCAGCAATAATTCCTGCAGATACTGGTATTGCCTACACAGGGCTGGTAACACATTAACATTTCTTTCAAAGCTTCTGGAAACATCCTTGTGCAAACTATTTGTGGCTGAAATTTAAAGTGTGTGTAGCATTTTATTTTAGTCAGCATTTATTATAGTTGAGAATGTCTTATACAGAAAAATGAAGTCAAACAGCAAATGAACACTGACCAGCTAAGAGACTCATACACCAAATTCCAAAGCATAGGGAGCCGCAGTGCCTGGGACAGGTTCAGATGTGACCAGTTCAGCAACACTAGTACCTAGCTTTCCCAAAGGGATAAGATTCCCTTTAATGTACAATTTTCTAAAATGCCCATGCCAAAAGGCTTTTAGGAGGACCACCATCATGCGACTCTGTTGGCATTGCTCCTGCAATGAATATGAATAACCAGAGTGAGGTTAGCACTGACCTATCATGAACGATGCTGTATTTCTGTATGCAGAAAGAGCAAATCCTGGCACCCAAAGCAGCAGCCATAACCACTGCTCTGCCAAGAGGTGACTTGCTATCAAGATGCCTTTTGCAGACACTCGTACAGATAACAGCAGCAAAGCCTGCGAGGCGCAGCCTGAGTAAACCAATCCGATGTGGGAAAATCTCACGTCAGTGGCAAGGTTCAGCTGACGCACTGCCAGTATCACTCCATTCACACCAGAACTTTCACTAATACCCGAACACAAGGACTTTTTCAAAAGCACCTTTTAGCTCTAAACACACAGAGCTGCAAACGTAGCTCCTGGTCTGAGTAGAGCTATACAAACTGTGTTGATCAGGATTTACTGCAACCATGTCAAACAACAAACAGAAGAGCAAACATTGTGAACAAACACAGGAAAAGCTGCAGACTCCCACAGATGCTTCTGCTCAAATCCACGTGAATCTAACAGTTGGGTCTTGCAGATCTGCCTTGTGTAGTAATTTGATGCCTTGCATCAAAAGGGAAGATGGAGGGATTTGCTGACTCAGCGAGGAACCAAAAAAATTACAAAGATCAACAATTATCTGAAAATGTCTTATCCCTTTAAAGTGAAGATTCCTTGATGATATTAAGAAAATGTACTTTTTTGGTTTTATTCAAATTTGCATTAAATACAGTCTAAGGGATTTCCTTGCTTTCTAGCAGTTTTTGCAGTTTCTCTTTTTTATATATATTTGAGATACTTCTACATCAGCCTCATACAGCAACAAGAAAAGGGAAATGTTAAGTAACGTACTATGAAATAAACAGGACAATGTAACTGAAAAAATACAAGTTGGCTAACAGCAGCTTAGGTGGACAGAAGTGCAATTCTGAAATACATGGGTGCAGCTTATAAATCCTCCCCTGTTCAAAAGCCTTCAGATCTCCCATCTAGACAAACATGAATGCCAATGCCCTGTAAGCCAAATTTCCCTTTTTAGATAAATATATTGGAGGCCTGTTTTTGTCTTAAGTGCTGATTCCTAACTGAATTTGTGGGAGTCCCGGGTAACACAATTTCTGCCTGTGCTTTCTCAAATCAGTCTCTCCCACCTCCCAAACTAATACTGGTGAGGAGACAACTCCCCTCTCAAGCCCTTCTCCTGGACTCCTTTGACAAGGAACACGACTCACCACTCCCCCAGCCCGTCTCCCCTGTGTGTCAGAAGGTGATGCCTATTCCACCACTTTGCTGCCTTGCACCTTTTATCTCCACCTGCGTTTCAAGAGCACCATAAAGGAAATTCCAATTCTATGCTTTCAGTCACCTCTAGGCTTTTTAGCTGGACTCTGACGCTATTTTCAGGATCTCAACCACTGTTTTAAACAAGTGAATTCAGAGTAAGTATTGAACTGTTACAAGATCCCTTACAACAGTAACATTAACCTGTCTATCACAAAGTTTAACTCTTATCTGATTGCCAGGGCTTAAAAAGCCAAGCTTCCTCATTAGACCCATGCTTCACATGTCTAAGTTTGGCATGAGGTTTGGCTTGTGTAGTGCCTATTACTCCTGCCTTTGGTTTTCCCCATATAGCTGGAGGCAGGGGGAGTTGCCACTTGTTTTTCTTTAAAGATCAAGTAATTGTTTCCAGGGAAGTGACTAATCAGCAGTAGGTGAGTCTCAAATGGTTCCTGGAATAAGTATTTTACATCCATTATGTCATGCTAAAATACAGATAATAGAATAAGTCGTATCACAGACAACAAAATGGTAAAACCTTAAGTTTTTCTTCACTAATGTACCACACAAAATGAAAGTATTTTCAAATGCCTATGTTTAGGTCTCATTGAGATTACTTTGTGCAGTGAGCTAGAGCTGATCAGATGAGGCAAAGTCACTGTCGTTATAAAAACCCTACCTCACTGCTCTAAAATTAAGCTTTCTAGCAGTCTGGTCCTTAACCTCTGGTTAAGAGCAATTAAGTCAATCACAAAAGGTGTTCTTTTTTGTTTTCCTTCTTTTTCCCTTTCCAGTAAAACATTTTGGGGAAAAGAAGCTTTCAACAAAGTTATCCCGTAGGCACGTACATACAGGCTGTTATAGGTCACACACAAATGTATAGAGCACACAAAACATCATGCAAGTTCTTACCTGTAAAAGCAGAGTGTCCTTGAAGGACAGCTCTTCAAGTTTTAGTGCAGTCAGAATTATTTCAAGCCCTTTGATGTGATCTATTACATTGGAAGTTAATGTCTGTAGTTCAGTAACATAATCCAGAAAATGTGTAAATACAGGTGGCTATAAAAACAAATACATTTATAAACACATATTAATGCCTATTCAAATGACTATTTTATATGACAACTCACTTTGTAACATCTATCATTCTGTTCCCCCCCCCAGTGCTAAGCTATAATCTACCTACCCAGATAAATACTATCGGTTAACTAGTTTACTGTAGTGCATTCAAGGCAGAAAGGCCTGTGATACTCTAAACTGTGTTTCCTATCAACAAGCTGTCGTGATGTCAGAGATGTGGCATGTCACCATTTGATTTTAAATAGAAAAGGAGTTTTAAAAATTAGTACTGAGTAATCTCTAACACACATCAGCCTCTACAAGGCAAAGTTTACGAAAAACAGTTTATTAACATGTCATCTATCCTGATTTTTCTTTCAGTATAAATATGCTGTCGGATTGGGGGTGGGGGAAGAAAAGAAAGGGACATTGTCTACCATAGCTACACTGCTTTCTTTTTTTTTCTTCTTCTTTTTTTGCAGGTTGGATTTAAACGGTCGGAGGACACTGTCACAGTAACTTGATACCCACAGGGCAATGGAGATCGTCTGGAAAAAAGGTACAAGTATGTTACAATTTGCATTTACAGGAGGCTTCTAAACTCGTTTTAGCGTTCCTACTGATAAGACTCAGAGTAGTTAGAATATGCAACAAAAACTCCGCTTTCATGAGTGACTGAGATCAAAGAACTTTCACTATGTTTTAGTCCCAACATTTCTATCCTGAAGTTCTCAGAAATTTCTAGTTTCCAAAGGAAAAAATACCTCAACAAAGAAGACTAGGTTTTCTAACAGGTTTGGATGAGTTTTCAAGGTGCCATCTCTGACTTCAATCAAATCACCTTTACACTTATTGAACAAGTCTGAAAAGAAAAAAAAGAAAAGCCTTATTCAGGACACGTAGATCAACTTAAACGTGTATTTTCTGTACAGTATGTATCTCAGTGCAGTGTGCAAAGCTGTCAGAGGACTGACCACTAAGCAGCTAATGACAAATTTGGCCAAAGCCTCTCAAGAAGGTCCAGCTCTGAAGTTTCCTCCGAATTGTATTTCATTACAAACAGTATCTCCACTCCATTTATTTGCACACCTGGACCAAGTACCAGGGAGACAACAGTTGCTAAGACTAGGCTGCAAGGTAGCGAAATGATAGGACATAACGACATTCTGTGGCATGCAACACTTCGTGATCAGACAAGCCAAGGGGAATCTCAGCCTTGTTCTCAAGTATCTTCCAAAGGGGTCTGCAGATGCATTAACACACTTCCCCATAATTGCAGCACACTCAGCAGCACATCCTCGGAGCACCATGAAGCACTACCTTAGCTACCAGTGTTTATTCTTGAGTTACCATTTACCTGTTAGTCGTTCTACTAAAGACTTGAAACTATTCCCTATCCTCTCCTGGATTTCTGCTGAATCTTCTGAAAGAAAAAAGAGTAGTTATAAAGTACAAGTTTGTGTATTTTCTGCTTCCAGAAAACTAAGAGGCTTTTAAGTGTAATTTAGCTTTAGCAGTCAAAAGCAGATACAACTGCTTTCAAAGAGGATCCAGTATTACATCAACGTACACTGTACAAAAATGAAGACTTCACATAAAACATTAAATTAAGGCAGCGCCTCCCAGATAATTTTTTGAATGACACTAAGTTAACACACAAGTGTTTGGGTCCACATCAGCCAACGCCTAGTAGTTTTCAAACTAAATGGAGACACATCTCACTCCCTCCCACCACACATCATGACAACCTGGTTAAACCCCTGCCCCTCAAACACTTACCTAGGCCATTGGTATCTAGTTCATAAATATCACTAACAAGATAAAACAAGCTAGTCTGGCATTGACAGCTGCCATTACTGAAGAAGCCAGCCATTCGGGTAGGAGGAGGGCCAAGGACAGGATACTAGGCAAGAAGCAAAGAAAAAGATAAAGGTGTTGCAGCTTTTCCTTATCCAGAACACAGTGTTTGTCTCTGGCACATCTCTCAGTCAGATTCATACACTACAAACTCAGGGTCAGTTAAGTGCATTCTGCAGCCTGCTGGACGTTACAAGATGCATTCAGTTTCTCTGCTTGCATTCATGTTCATTTAATACTTGGGGATAGCTTTTTCCTTAATGGGTACCTGAATTTTTTGTTCTAGAAACTTCTTCCCTGAATCCACTGCCGCTTCCAGCTGCTGAAGCAGGGATCGAATTGTATCAATCTTGGATGAGACGCCGTTCTCTGCAGTCTTTTCAGAGTTCTTTGGTTGAATAGTGTGACTAAGAGGTGGGAGTCCGCTTACTAGCCTTAAAGTTAAAGACCGGATTCGCAACCACATGGTTTCTTCCTCCAGTGAGAGTTTCCTATGTTCTTCAGAAATGTCCCTAGAGAAAGGCACCAAATGTTTTCAGGCAAATGCTTCGATTTTGCAGAGTAGCAAGCTTCACTCAGGTACAAAAGCCTACCCAAAGTTATCGAATACTCTATGAAGAGGAAGGAGTGGTCAGAAATTCAGAAAACCGTATTAATATGTAAAAAGGCAGCACTGCTAGAAGCGATGAATGATGCTTGTTAAGTTTGCAGTTAGCCAGCCTAAAGAACATTTAAATATGGCAGTTGCCCTGAAAGGATTTTCTTCGCCATGTGTGCTTTAAGGAAAAGGTGTGACTCTACAGTTGAGGATATTTCTACTCACCTGTCTTTTGGATCCCAGTTAAACAAGACTGTCAGGTCTCTGTTGTCACGCAAGTCTTTCCACGGAATGTCATCCTCCTCTGGGCTCAGACTCATGGACTTTATACTTTCTTCTAAACTGGATGATCTGAATGTGAGAATAAGCAACATTAAATCAAACATTTGATCACTGGAAACAGAAAACACAGCACGCTAACAAACCACATTCTCTCCACTGATCAACTCTTTCGATGTCAGAAATGCTACACATACAAGGTACTGACAAGGATGCTGAAGGGAAGAGCAAAGTAGCAGCAAGGAGAAGTAGCTCACAGGTTTTTGCCAAAGACCTGCAAGTGCAACTCACTAATGTCTCACTTGGCCAGTGTTCTGCCTATGCACAAATCTCCAGTTTTTTCACGTGCAAGGTGCTGCACTTATTGCTGCTGTACTTACATATTTGCTTCAAGTAAGAGGTCTAACAACATCCGTTCTGTGCGAACTTGCGCAAAGTGAAGGGAAGAGTTCAGCCTATTTCTAAATGCAATGAATTCTGGGATCTTCTCAAATGCACCATACTTGTAGGCTTGAATGATATATTCTGAGGTCTGGAAGAAAACACACACCGTCTCTGTATTAGCTTCTTCCATAAATTCAGAACAACCAGAGTTTAACAAGGTCACTGCCAAGAAATTGCATTTCTGTGGTTTTCATTAACCCAGAGGTACAGAATCTGGCAGATACTCAACCCCTGGGAGAGGCTTGCACTTTTGCTTGTCCAAGTCACCCCAGCAGTTTTGCTACTTTAATTTGAGAATGTCCAGATGCTCCACTAGGCAGTGTGATTTAATAACCAAACCTACACTAAGAAACATCACGTTGCTGTCGCCACTGAAAAATACTTATAGGAGGGGAGAGATGATTTTGGAAGGCTTTTTTTTTTTTTTTGAGATGCATTATTCAAATCGTTGTTTCATTGTGAAAGTACTTTCAGACAAAATAAATATATCCCAGATTTTCTGGAACTGACTTGGATGTGCATCACATATTACCGCAACATAGGTTAAAAAAATTACTCACACATTTTTTTATTTCTCTTTTTTATTAGATTTTTGAATACAGCATCACAAGGTATCACGCAGTGTATACACATAACAATACAATCTAAACACCAAAGGAAACTGTCAAGGTCCATGGGATAGTTTGCTTCCCCTCTGATGAAATGCAGCAATACAAGGCACACAACTAATACTTCACATCAGTCCAAGTAATCTCCAGAAGGAGATTTATACGACGAAGGAGCCCCAAACAAGCACTATATTTTAATGAAATTTTCTAACAGGAGAGACAGAGTGAACAATTTATGCTCCCAGTCAAGACAGATGGCTGTATTTTTTACATCAGAATTACTCCACAAGTGAGAAATTCTGGCAAATAAAATATTTTCTTCTGAACAAGATTATGAAATGCACTGAAGAGGAGAGGCATCAAAAAGGCCCCTGGTTAACTGAACTTTATATGGTACTAACAGACTCAACCTGTCTGGAAGGCTCTGAGAGACTAGAAGCTAGTATGAACAGATGAAAGCCACCTTTTTTTCCCCTTTAAAATAAGAAATGTCCTCTAGGTAGCTCTTTTTTTTCCTAAGAAATTTGGTTATTTGCACTGTATGAAAAAAATATGCCAAATATTCAACAACATACCCTCTGATAAACAGCCTTGCAGAGTTCATTGTCAGGCTGCGGGATTGCGCTATGGGTGCTAATTCAACTGCATCGACGTGGTTTTTAAATCCCCATAGGATACGTTGGTGTTCTGTTTGCCTGCAGTATCTGGAGAAATTAAAGACGGACGGACACAAGAAAATTAGAAAGATTACTTGTGATTCTGCATATTTAAAGGAGGACTATCTTGATAAGGATAAAGTTGCCTTTTTAGTTTTGGCCAAATATAGCAATACTGCCTTCTATTCTCCTCCCTGTCCTTGGCATCCTCTCCCAGAACAGAAATATTATGTCAGGACTGCACAGCATCCTAGATGGCTGTTACTCATGGGACCCACTCTTAAACAGGATTCACTTCAGGCTGTTAAGTTCAGCAAGTCAGAAGGAGAACATATTTATCCAAAGCAATCAGTTTGAATCAGTAGCTATATTTTTATGCCAGACCACTTCGTTTATATCCCACACTTCCTGTTCTAGGCAGAGTCCCACGCACAGCATGCCGCAGGACACGTTCTCTGTGCTGCAGCAGGCATTCCAGCTATCTTAAATATCAACCCAGAGAGGAGCAGGCAGTATCTGAAATCATGTAAAAAGGTAACTTTTAGAGGATAGTCCTCCTTTAACATTGCAGTTAGATGCCGTTATGGGACTCGAATGGGAATCTCGTATCAGGACCCAGAGTATAAAGGGGCAACCCCAGCGGAACCACAGCAGCACAGAAACTGGTAGCAGATTCTGACCTTGTGATACCTGGGACATATCTTATGGTAAGGAATCCCTTTTTTCATCTCCACTCTTGCCATGCCATCATCCTAGGTGAACAGTACCCTGAATTGAGCCTTCACCTCCTGCAATTTGCACCTTACGGTTGGTTTAAAGGACACTTGCTATTTGCAAATTAGTACAGCTTTTGATGCATTTCCCAGCTAAAAGGATCTTAAGGTGGTAACCACTGGAAGTGTCCTGAACACGAGAGATTTGGCTAGCCGAGATCAACAATGGCTCATGGTCCTCTGGTCGCAATACTCTGTCTCCAAGACGAGACATAATGCGAGTGGGTTCCAGAGTCACATCCTTATCTTGTAGCATGAAGAATTATATAATGCTGATTGCATCACTTTCGCCCCTCTTGCAATTTCAACCTTTTAAGGTGTGGTAGTGAGGCAGGTTGAACCATTCAGGCACTGCCTTTTCAGGATTTCTGGAACACGAGTTGAGTAGCATTTTCCTGGGAACAGCACTTGGAACGTGGCTGTCTTCGTCTGCGTACAGATATTGAGCTACTGGAGACAATCAGCTCTTCTCTGCTGCAAGCACCTTTATCATTCATGCCAAAGAGAAAAACCTTCTTCCAAGGTAACCACACCTGAAGTTACTTCAGATTGTTTTCCAAGGAAAGATCATTTCTTGATGCTTTACAATGCAGTGTTCCCAAGCAGACAAACGACATCCAATAGTTTTTTCGGTACACTTTTTTCACCTGGGACCCAGCAGTCATACGTTTTATTCAGACAGTTGGTTCCAGGTATGCTTTTCATTAACATCCGTCGAGTGACTTTTAAACAAGACTGAACAAGTGACTCCTCATAAAAAAAAAAAAGGAGAAAAAAGCCGCCACTACCAACAACAGACACGTAGGAGAAAGCTGTCTGGATCCAGGGCTTCACTCCAGCACTAAACATTGCACCCAGGAACCCAAAGACTCTTAGCAAGTAGAGTCAGTACTTAAACAACGAGCAAGTGAGGGAAGCAGATGAGAGCAAGCTCCCATCGTACAATCTACATGCTCCTCTGTGCATCCCACTCCCTACAGTGAAACTTCTGTGACAAGACACAGGTCACACTAACTCAGCATCTACCCTCCAGGCACAGGTAAGTGGCAGCTGGTACCTTGTACATAGGAATAACCCGGGCTGCCAACAGAGCAAGGGTACTCTTCTGAGGGATTACTGTGTGAGCATCTTTACTATTCAGTACAGACAAGTCTTGTGTTTTTATCTATTTCTGGGATGGTGGGAAAGCGAGTTGTATGACTGCAGAGCCTTTGGAGGCAACTTAGCCAGTGGCTGACTGGAAGAGTTACAACTGGATCACACTTTTGTTTCTTACGAAGTAAAGTAAAAATAATTTTCTTCACCTACCTCTCAACAGTGATCAAACTGTAAAATATAAATATACAGGATATATTCCCACTCCTCAGAATGGGACTGCCTTGCCAGTTTTAGGGAGATGAACTGACATGCATATACCTCTCTACCACAATTCTGGACTATTTCTGTTCCTATTTGCCCAATATATTTCCACCAAGACTTCAAGAATGTGTTGTTCCACTCCTACCTAACCCATTTTTCATGAATTCCATGGGAATTCTGAAACAGAATTGATATTTTCCCTATGAATGTATCAGAATGTACAGAGCGTACTTTCCAAGTAAGATTATTGACAAGTACACTTACTAATCAGCAAGCTACATGCCTAGGGCATGGTGTGCATTTTAGGAAGCACCTGATCTCTTTGGAGGAATTCAGCTACTCTCCCCTCACTACCTCTTCCATTCCAGTCCCAGGATTCTCATTCAAGGCAACTTTCTTTCCATTCACACCACTTTTTGGGGTGAACCAAATAAAGCAGGTAGTTCCCGTTAGCACAAGACCAGGTTTTGCAATTTGATGCTATCACTTCAAAATAACGCAGTTAGTCATGGGCTCTGCTCTGCCTTCAGTGAAGCTGAGACTTCAAGACTCAGTTTTTCCCCTCTGAAATCCTCCCAACT